GGGTTACCAACCTACCCGCCAGTGGAAATAGTTTCTCTTTGATCACCAATCGAATCCCCTCATAATTTTGAAAATTTCTATTGAAAAGTCTCCTATTAACCTTCTCTGCTCCAAGGAGAATAATCCTAGCTTCTCTCGCCTCTCCTGATAACTGAAGTCCCTCATTCCTGGTACCATCCTGGTAAACCTCCTTTGCACCCTCTCCAATGCCTTGACATCCTTCCTAAAGTGTAATGCCCAGAACTGAACATGGTCTCTAGCTGAGGCCTAACCAGTGTTTTACAAAGGTTCATCATAACTTCATGACTTTTGTATTCTATGTATAAAGCTTAGTATCCCGTATGCTTTTTAACAGCTTTATCTATCTGTTCTGCCACCTTCATTTTGCATCATAGCAATAATATAATTTACATTATAAACACAAAAGCCAGGAATACAAGTTGTTGGCATGTGTGCTTTGGGGCATGGTTCGTTAATCTTTACTGAGTATGTGAATTTTATCAAATCTCCAAAATAAACTTACATGTCCATCTTCTAGCATCCAGGATAACAACAAACTTCAGCCACTTAAGTAAACAACCAAGACAAACTCATTAAGCTCTTATGAATGAGTGCTTTGTACGACCAGAAAATGATAGGTAAAGAACTGGAAATAGCACCACAATTAGACCATCCATCCAAAAATAGAGGCCTTTTTTTAAACTATTCTATTATCTATCACCATGCTTGGCTCTTGTTTAAATAAAATGCCTGTAAAAATACTATTATTACAGGCATTTCATTAAAACAAGAGCCAGGTGGTAATAATTGTTGCCCATTCCCAAAATTCTGGTTGGAATTGCTCTGGGAACAAAAAACATCCCTTGATATAGTTGGAGCCGTATCATAGAGGTTGGACTCCAGCTTCATAAATGGGGAGGGAAAACCTGACTTTTTCTTAGTTAAATTATTTTGTCCTTATTTAGAACTGGATTAAAGATCCTTCCTTTAATCTTGTGTTGTTATCATCACATTTCTTTTAGACAATGACATCTCATCAGTAAAATATACCTATTCTAGTTATTGGTATTTAGAAAACTAGGATAACTCCACCCATCCCCTATAACATTTCCTGTTACAAGAGTCTTAAATGATAACAAGACTTAAGGCAATGCTTGTGCCTAGAAAAGATTTGTTAGGAAAGGATATGTTCAGATTAGTTAAGACAGCGCATTATGATATCACCATGGGGTCAATAATTGGAGTTTAAGGATCCGATTACAACAACAAAATCACATTTTTATAGCACCTATCATGTTGGGAGGACGCCCCAAGTCGCTGGACAGTCAGTGTTTTAGACTCGAGCTGGGGGTCGGGATTGGTGAGGTTAGAGGGCAGGAGGGTGATAGAATCCCTATATTCTGCAACTTGCTAAACACGGTAGAATCATTATGTTTCACTATTTTGCAGCCATTGTAGAACATAGAGCATTGAGTTAACTTAAGAAAACCCACTGCTCTAACTGCTTTTCCAGACATCTTAGAAATTTTGGCAATACAGTATTTATCAAGCTGTTTGTAACTAAGTAAAGCTTGCCATCTAAATGGTGTAATTGTGGGAAAGTACAATATCATTGTCACATGAATTTAACTTTTGGATAAATAGAACGTCATAGGTGGCATAACAAAATATAATTACAGATTTAAGTAAATATTTTGTAATCATGTTGTTAAACAGTGAAATTAAACAATGATTCAAGCAACTTGAATCATTGTTTAAGCTGTTGAGCTGTTCGTAAAATAGTTTTAATATTTGTAGAAGTAATTTCTCAAAGTAAAGGTCAGCTTAAAAATATTGTTTACTATATTTCAGTTTTAAAAAAGGATTGAATGAAGGCTTTCATTCTAACCCTAACCGATACTCAAGATTAAAAAAATGGCCAGTTCAGTTTTCAGAGTTTAAATTATTTATAATACTTGAGAACAGTTAAGGGGTAACTGTAGACTATGGCACTATCTCACTCCTTTACATTATTTTGGCTGTTCCAATGAAGTGGAAAAAGCAAAGCACGTTGGGATACACTGTCATAAATTATTGAAATTAATTTATTTTCTACAACCTTTATTTTGAAACATTGATGTGAGCATTGTTGTTTTTGTTAGAAAAGTGATAGTGGAGAATACGGCTACAATGAATACCTTGTTCAAAGGTGCAGTGTTCTATGGAAAATATATTCTCGGTAAGATGTAGATATTTGATCAACTTTTGAAAATAGTAAAACAAATCCAAATAAAAATGTGCACATTGTCATTGCCCAATATATTGGAAGACAGTGTTTAAGGTGTGCTCATGTAACTGCTGCAATAAGTAAAATTCATGAAACCTCTGACCACAAAAATGTTTTTTTTACTTTCTCTGTGACGTAACCTAACAGAAGAACAATACGAAAAATGACCTAAACTGTTCACACCTACTGCTCTCTCTATGTGCTGCTCTATTTGGTATCTTGCTTGCATGGTAATTCCACTTAAGGATTTAAAAAGTGGAAAGTGGGAATTCGAGCAGGGGTCCAGTTAATTTAAGAACAAAAAAAATAAGAATTAGGAGCAGGAGTAGGCCATTCGGCCCCTCGAGCCTGCCCCACCATTTGATAAGTTCATGGCTGATCTTCAGACCTAACTCTAATTACCTGCTCTATCCCCATATCCTCTAATCCCTCTATTTTTTTAAACAGAAGATGTTCAAGGACTGAGCATCTACAGCCTTCTGGGGTAGTGAATTCCATAAATTCACTACCCTCTGAGTGCAGAAATGTTTCCTCAACTCTGTTCTAAAAGGCTGACCCTTAATTTTAAGACCGTGACCCCGAGTTATAGATTCTCCTACCAGGGGAAACAGACCTTCAGTGTCTACTTTATCCAGCCCTTTAAGAATATTATATGTTTCAATAAGTTCTCCCCTAATTCTTCTGTACTCTAGAGAATACAGCCCTAGTTTATTCAGCCTATCCTCATAGGTCAGTCCCCTCATCCCAGGAACTAACCGAGTGAATCTACGCTGCACCCCCTCTAGGGCAAGTATGTCCTTTTTTAAATAAGGAGACCAAAACTGCACACAATAAACTGGAATTGCAGGTTTTGGGACTGGATAGAACCTGAGATAATCTCATAAATGAAATAATGTTATCATCATGCAATCTACAGTCATCTCAGAAACATGAATGGGTGTGATTGTAGTTGCACTTCACATCCTTTGGTGAATCCATTCAATGCTGAAGGAATGACATAATTCAAAAGAGTGGGCATTCATAGGAAACAGCAGTCAACCTAACTACAAAACAAACTTTCCTGTTGAACCCATTGCAAGAATGGCAGACAGTAATTAGTTTTGTTTTCATGCACTCTACATTTTTCGAATTAATTATGCTTAGCATCTATCCTTGAATATGTTATTGAGTTCTTTTAATTTAGCAACACCAGTCATAGGAAAGCAAATAGCTGTGGAATTCATAGCAGAATGGTGTGAAATGATTAATTAATCAGTTAATTAACCAGGGGTATTTGAAATGACTCGTTTATACCAAATGTTACATTTAATTGTATTTGATACAGCTTGGATTTGCAAAAAAGTAACCAAATACCCAATCCTTTCATCCAATCTATAAAAGGTTATTCAGTTTGTACAAATAAACAAAAAATTCAATCAATAATACATGTCATGAAGCCACACTCTTTGATGGGCCTAGTAACTTCATGCTGCAGACATCAAGCCAAGAAAACGATTAGAAACAACCATTTTTTTTAACCATTTACTTTTTAAGTGTCGTTATGACGGAAAAGATTCCATCTTTAATATAATAATGTGAATGAGAAAGCTCAGCAGAATTCTAAATGTGCGAATGATACACAATTGTAAACGATGAGGAAATTTCATTGCATAAATATCTGAGAAAGTTTGCAATGTTATAATTTTCATATAATTTTGGTAAATGTTGAAATCCTGGAATCTATGCATGTTGCACAATATCCTTTGACACAGAATCATTACAGAAATTTACCACATAAAACATTTGGGCTATCAAGTCTGCAGTGGTGTTTTTTTCTCAAAATTAGCCTATTCAATCCCAGTCACTGGCTCCAAGTGTCGGAAACAAGATTCAAATTCTAAAAAGATATCAGTATAACCCTAATCACCACTTGTTATTGTAATCACTAATCACTCTGGGAATGGAGTTCCACAGAGCAGGGGCGAATCTGACGTGGAATTGTCAGATGATCCACCCATCCATCCAAACAGGCAGATGGAACCTTTGCTTAACGTCTCATCCGAAAGATGTCTCTGACTATTCCATATCAGACTTGCCCCCCATTCTGTGGAATCCTGGAACCTGTTGCATGTTGCACAATATCCTTTGAAACAGAATCATTACAGAAAGTTACCACATAAAACGGTAGACAATAGGTAGGCAATACACACACTGAGCCCATCCCTCATAAAGGGGGGAGGGTGCGGCTATGACAAGGCACCACTGTCGCCCACCTTATTCAATGCATTCAGCAATGACGGCACCGAGGGGACAGACGACGCCCAACACTTCCAACGAATTTCTGGGGCGCAGTTTGGTTTGGACACTCTTCTTAAGCACGGCGATGGGTTTCCGCACGTGCTTCGCTCGCAAAGTACCCCGTCAGACCCCCTTCACGGGATACCCAGCGAAGCTCTTCGAGACGTCGTCACGGCGCGATAAGGCGCTCGTATTATTATTAGTAGTCGTGGTATTATTATTGACGAATGGTTGGCTTGATCATTAGAAATGAGAATAGTGGGGGGGGGGGAAGTTGTGTGGTGATTGGGGTCCTTTCCTAGCGCCCCCTGGCGGTTCCCGGGTGCAGCGGGGGCTCAGTGATTGGCTGTGTGGGGAGCGACCCACACGGGGGCTGGAGTTGGCCGCTGGTATAAGAGGCAGAGAAGCGTCGGGCGCAGCGTTGAGAGACGCGGCTGCAAAGGGAAGCGCTCGGTGGAGGTGCAGCCACAGCCTTCCCTGCATCGCCCAGACCCCGATCTCTTTTAATCACGACCTTCTCCTCATTCAAGCCGATGAACTGCACGAGGTAATTATGCATTTAAGTCATTAGATGTCCCACTCTTTTTCCCCCCCCCCCTTTTTCCTTCTATATAATAAAAAAAAGAACCAGTCGGTGCGTTGCTTGTGTCTTACTTTCTGAGCTGCAAAGCCAGGGGTGGGGGGTTAACATGGCTCAGAGCTGGTTACTCTTTTTGTTTTTTTTTAAAAAAAATGTGGCTGCACTCACTTACCTCGGTCTGTCCGATGACTTGGGTGTTGAAAGCGATCCGAGGAGGTTGTAACGAGCGCAGATTGGAGCTCCAGTGTTTATTACTGGTTTTGCAAAAAAAAAGTCTGCTGAATTGTGCCCCAGTAAACGTGCACTTCCAACCGCTGCACAACCTCAAATGTTGTTCGTCTATCTCGTGTCATTCGCATTGGAACAGTGGATTTATTATTTTGCTGGTCTTGCGCTTCATTAAACGTTTGCAAAAAAAAAACCCTTTTTACGCCTTTTCAATGAGACGTGCGTGGGATTGCAATGGTTAGTGATACTGTTTTAGTTTTACCTTTTTTTGGGGGGGTCTTCAGAGCTGGTAACTGACTCTAAACGTTTCAAATGAAGTCGTTCAATTATGGATATCACCGTGGGTGGTTTACATCTGACTTGCTCCTTGTTTAAAGGCTGGTTTTCAGTGATCTTGTTCCATTTTCAATTAGTTTTAAGGACTTGTATTGAACGAGTGACCAATTTTATATTGGGGATTTGTTTTTTTTTTCAGGGTCTTCCATATATTGACACCAGGCCATTACCAACTGTATGTATTATGCCTATCGACATAGCCATGAGGATCTGTCTGGCTCGTTCTCCACCCTTGAGAAACTTTCTCGGTCCTTATGATCCTTGCCGGGGCCGAAGCTTTGCTAACAGGTTAAAGCCACTCAGGCCCTGTATCAGCTCAAAGAATGAAGCTGGTCCTTGTCATGAAGAGTGGGCTGATTCCAAGGACAAAAGGAAGAAATCGGTTGTGTTTGCAGATGACAAAGGGCTGTCGCTCACACAAGTTAATATTTTCTCAGAATTTGAAGACCCGCTAGCTGACCTACAGTTTGATCTGACTGACCTTGAATACATGACATGCGGATTGAAAATTAATGAAATAAGAAATCTAATCCTGGACTTCACTCTGCCTTCTGCTGATTACTTGACATTCAGAAATCACCTTAAGAAGAACTTTGTCAGTCTTGAAAATTGTGCTCTGCGAGAGAAATCCATTGAAGGTACAGTTAAAGTAAAAAATATAAGTTACCACAAACTCGTCCAGATCCGGATAACTTTTGATTCGTGGAAGACTTTTAAGGATGTGGAGTGCTCTTACCTAAACGATGTGTACGGTTCTGTTGACAATGATACCTTTTCTTTTGTTGTTGATCTGCCATCCTCATCTTTATCTCTTCAGGAGAGAATTGAGTTCTGTGTCTCTTTCAAAAGTGGACATCAAACCTACTGGGACAATAACAATGGTGAGAATTACAGGATCGTTCATGCGGAATGGAAACCTGATGGTATACAGGCTCCAATCACCTTCAAGAGTGAAGTGTCAAAGAATGGTGGGAAGGTAGAGGCAGTTGAATGTGATCAGTACGGTAGTCCAAGAGCATCGAGTTTTCTGTTCCCTGACTGGCAAACCTGGAGTAGGATTGAGAAGTCTCTGCCTTATTGGTGATGTCAATGTTGCAGCAATGGATTGAAGCAAAATAAGATGAGTTGCCTCGATTTCTGCCACAGATTTCAGAAGTCCTACATTTCTAATCTAATTATCTTCAAGTCCCTCTGGAACCACAGGTACATTCATCAATTTAGTCCAAGACTTTTCAAAATGCTATTGTGGTTGTTTGAATCCCAGTAGGATTCTTTGGACTAACCATCTGAAGGCAGATACAGATGAAGGCAGTGGATGTGCAAGTTTGGATTGTGGATGATCTTGAGCAATGTGCCAAGACTGATGGATTAACAAAGTGAATGCGTTTTGGATTTCAGATGTGTGCATGACAGTTGTAATGAGTGAATGATTTGACTGAAGTACAAATAAATTTGCTAAATGAAAATCCTTTAAGAAAAGTTGCACAGAAAAGTACCTGAAGGGGACTGAACACAAGACAACCTGACTTCGGAATGAGCCAACTATGATTGTTGATTGTGTATCCACACCAGGGATTGTGCATGTATATAAAATCCGCGAAGGAAACTAGTATCTGGAAAAATAAAGTGCCTTAGCTTAAAAACTTAGCAAAGTCAAAAGGTAGAATTAAAAAAAATTGAATACAGCGATGATCTGCCAAGTATTTCAGTAGTAATAATTCACCACAAATTTGACGCACCCAGAACTCCATTACCTTGTTTAAGATTATCCAAACCAGACTGAAGTCCACATTTGCACAGGATTTTCATGTCTGGAATGGAAATGACACACTCTCCCAGCTTACCTAATTCTCTGCTTTTACACATTACTGTCCAGCATGATTGTCACTACTGCATTCTCCACTTGACTGGGGCAGTTCTGTGTTTTTTTCTTATGTGCATCAATAAGTACACAATGGTCTTGGAAGATGAGATCCTTCATATTGAAGGTTATATGACTAACCTGAATTGGACATGCAGATGGGTGCATAACTAAAGATTGCTGGAGTCTTTGTTCTATGACCACAAACTGTTAAATTAGATGTTTGCATTTTTCCTGGTCAAATGTTCCAACTCTTAATAACTGTTGCTTGGTATTTGCCAGCTTGGGAGCCATTTTTACAACTGTTAACAAGGCAGCAAAGTTTAAACGTGTTGTAAAGCGTTCACTTGCGTAGCCTTTTGATCAGTAATGCAATTCAATGTGCACATTAACAGTATATGTTTTCCATGTGGCATGGAATATGGGGATAACAATGCATTTTTCAATATAAGTAGAGGAAATTCCAATGTATGTCCATGTGGCAATTAGTGTGCTATTGAAATGTGATCAAGAACTAGTTTCAGTTTGTTGCAGAATTAGACTATTGAGGTGCAATGTGAGGATGAATGTGGTTAACATGGACTCTGCAGCCACTGAAATATTTTTCTATGGGAGATTTGTTCTTGGTAAAGTAGCAATATTCTTTGAAGAAAAAAATAAACAGTTTTATATTTACATCTCTTGTCCTGATGTTTTGTGGGCTAAATTAAAATTGGTTTCCATTTCCTGATAAAAGGTTAAGACACTATGACATTCCCAGTGGATTAAAATGATGGAGATTGGCATTCTCAGCACTATTTTAAAACCATTAGCATTTACCAAAGTGACTTGTATGAAGACAGTTACAATCCTAAAGTAAAATAATTGTTTATCCTGATTATTCTGTACCTTTAATCATAGTCTTATTATTCCTATTTAGCTTTGTTCCCCACTAAATCTAATTTTAAAAGTCTCACATTTTCTTTTGGAAGGTGTTGAAAGTGGCATTGTAGCCTGGAAGAAAGACCTATTGTCAACCTATTGAAAGTTCACCAACCTCCACTCTGCAGGCACTGGTCTGCTCACGTACCCCATCCTGCCTGCTCTACTATCGGCGGTCGGGCTTTCTGCCCCCACCCTCAGGAACTGCATCCTGGAGCCCCGCTGCCTCACCCCCTCCCTTGACTTCTTCAAGGCCCATCTCAAGATCTTCCTTTTTAACCATGCCTTTGGTCATCTTCCCGCCTCCACCCCTTCTGATTCCAACCCACAGCTCAGGTGCAAACTGCACATTGTCCCAACATCTTGGGATGTCCTTCTGACGTGAAAGGCACTATATAAATGCAAAGTTGCTGTTGTGGTTTTTGCATCCAAACCATAATATTTGAATGTACCAGTGCTCCTCCACAAATGGAACTTGGAATTATACATCCACTTTTTAATCTTTTCTGAAAATAAAGTTGACTGTTCCTGTGGATTACCCATTCACTTGCTAGGCAATGACACTACATAGTGTAACATAAACCTCACTGACCAGAAGGTCACAATAATTTCCTCATCCAAATAGAATCAGCCAAATAAAATACTGTGATGAAGAAAGGTCAAATGACACATTTGTTGGGGATTAACAGTAAGACACCAGCTTCAATATCTCTGCAGTAGATTTACTATTTTTATCACATGGTCTGAACTGGATTGTGTGTCCAGGGTAAAAACCTGCAAATAATTGGTTGTCTTATTAATGCACTCAGAATGTATTGAACATTTGCAATAAAAGTTTCAGAATTGATCATTCTCATACGTGCAATAAAATAAATAAGTATCTGCTTGACTTATTAAGTAACTTTGTAGGGGATGGTATTGACTGATATGACTGAAATTCAGCACTGGAAAGAACTGTTTCTATACTACAGGGGAAGGAGATGGGAAAGTCATCTGAAATGGAAATTTGGGGACAGATGAATATTATGATTAATTATCTTTAGAATTGGAATATTTACATTTATATTTAGCATTCCCAGGAAATAATGATAATAATCCTTGCATTTGATATAGCACCTTATGTCTTTGAGATGTCTCAAAGCACTTCAGAATATACTGTAAAGTGAATTGACTGTTTTGAGGGCAAAACGCAGCAGCCAATTGCGCACAGTAGTGTCCCACAAACAGTTGTGGATTAAGTGACCAAATTATTATTTATTTTTTTGAAGGGACTATTACCCCCAGAAAGTTGATCTGCCAATTGACTAACAATCGGGTTCCTACTTACTGCTAGGTAAATAGGGGAGTGTGGAGTAAGGAAACTTGCTCAACGTTTCGATCTGCTGGGAATCGAACGCAGGTCCTCTTGCTTGTGAGGTTGAATGCTCTAACCACTAAACTACATGATAAGTGGATGGGATGGAGTCCATGGTAGGGTTTTCATGGTCTATGAAGTAATGGCATTGGGGCAAATAATCTTTACTCATCCTATAGTAAGTCCAATTATAGTACTCCATAACACAGGGACTTGAGGTTTCAGGTATCCATCAGATAGCTATCATTCACTGACTACTATTCCTGTTTGGACTTGATCCTACTTGTTTATATGATAACCTGTTTATCAGTTTGCTGGAAGCATATTCATGTGTGATGGTTGTTGCAGTTGGGAGCCTCTAAATTTAATATGTAATGCATGCTACTCGAGACTAATTGTGCTTTAATTCATTTCCATTAGTAACCAGATTGGGTTAAAAAGACCAAGACAAACTGTTCCACTTATTCATGTTCCTCTATGTAAAATAGTTGAATGAACTGTTCATTCTCTCTTTTGCTTTTGAGCTTGAAACCATAACCCCTTGTTGTGGGCTTTACTTTATTGAACATTATTGCATTCAAATCCATCTATATTAGGAATTTAATTACTCCAATCTTCTGAAACAAACATTTCTACCTTTCAAAATTTCTAATGCTTCAGGTGGCTAATCCCATTGATTATTTGAGTCGTCAATCGCAAATACCTCACCAATGCCAGATTGTCAGCTGTGGTATGGACAGCAGAACTGTGAATTAAGCATGGTAGGTCCATGCCAATTCTTTGGACAGACCATCCTCCATTCTTTCTGAGATTTGTGATACCCTTCCAGCTGTACATCCTTACCTTTATTTGTCTTCCTTACTACTGCCACACACCATACGGATACATTTCAATAAACTGATGTGCCCCAAATCCTTTCTGTATTGTCTGTAAGCATCCATTGTTTACATTAGATTTGATCACAATACACTTGCATTTATAGTACAATGTGCATTGCTTCCTTGTTGGTCTCCAAGATTTAAAGGCTTCACATTGCTTAATTATAAATCGATCTGCACAAATGTAGCCTAATATAGTACTGGACTTGCATCATATTTCAACTCTTTGGAATTTGTTGCACATGAAACAAGCTACTGCAAATTCAAAACAACTTCAAAAAAATAATAATCCTTGTATTTGATATAGCGCTTTTCACGTCTTCTAGATGTCTCAGACATCTCAAAGTGCAAATATACTGTAATGTGAATTGACTGTACATGTGTGGGTGAGATGCGGCAGCCAATCTCGCACAGCAGTGTCCCACAAACAGTCGTGGATTGAAGTGACCAATTTATTATGGGGGGGGGATTTTCCTTGAGGGATTATTATCAGGAATGTGGAGTAAGGAAACGTGCCCAAGGTTTTGCACTGCCGGGAATTGAACCTAGATCTCTTGCTTGCGAGGCGAGTGCTCTAACCATGGAGCTACAGGACTCCGTATATTTGAATTCAAATCATTCTAGAGATCTTGTGTTAATGTTTATTATTTACTTTGCAGTCAACACAAAATTTGTGTTGCACCTTTCACGTCGGGAGGACATCACAAGGTGCTGTTTCGGTCAGTGTTTCGGATCCGAGGTGGGGGTCAGGATCGGGGAGGGTGATCAAAAGCACGGTCAAAGAAGAGGGTCTTGAAATGGGTCTTGAAGGGAAGGCAGAGGGACTGTGGGATGGAATTCCAGAGGGTGGGGGCAGAGTGGCTGAAGGCTCGCCTACCAATGGAGGGGCAGGCGAGGTGGGTTGCCTGAAGCAGGCCTGAGTCCGCTGAGCGGGCAAGTTGGTAGGGAGTTAGGAGGTCGCAGAGGTAGAGGGCTTTGAAGATGAGGGCCAGGATCTTGAACTGTATGATTGGAAGCCAGTGGAGTCGAGCGAGGATGGATGTGATAGGGTAACGGAGCCTGGTGCGGGAGAGGACATGGGCTGCAGAGTTCTGGATGATTTGTAGCCTGTGGAGGGAGGAGTTGGGGAGGCCAATAAGCAGGGAGTTTGCGTAGTCCCAAGCCTGGATATTATGAATGCATGTATGAGGGTTTCGGCAACCTTCGGTGTGTGAGATAGTGGCGGAGCCGGGTGATGTTGCGGAGGTGGGGGAAGGCAGAGCGGGTCATGGCACAGATGTGGGGTAGAAAGGAGAATTGAGGGTCAAATAAAATGCCAAGGTTCTGGACTGGCTTAGTAAGGTGGAGTGTGCATTGGAATTTGCAGCTCCTGCACCTGCAGATTTGCATTGCTCTCGTGCCTCTGGAGGCATGATCTAAATAGGATACAAAGCCAATTATCTTTGCATAACAGTTCTTTAAGTTGTGAACACCTTTAACAGATGCTATTTTAAAAAAGCCTGGCCTAATAGTATTGAATTGAAAGCGATTTAATATAACACAGTTTCACAACCTCTTTCCCCACTGGGCCAAATAAACTCATCTTCCCAATGCGATTACCAAGGATCAAACAAAAAGGCTAGATTTTGTACATTTTATATTAGTAAACATCAGAATAAAGCAATTTGTAGGTATGCAAATTAATCCACAAATGCATTTGTACCAGTTATCCCCTCAGTGTTACAACAAAACAAAGCGATTTCCTAAATGACTGGATTTGCCTGTTAATTCAGTTCAACAAACTCAATATGCCTCTTTAAATGAGGTACAAATAAAACTTCATTGCCCATTTATTTAGCTCTGCCTCATACCAAATGTCTTAACCAGGTATCACCTAATCACATTAATATTCAGAACCATCAATTGCAGCCTATTGGATTCTATCAGAGACTGCTTTCACTTTGATGAATCATTTCTAACATTCCACTAAATTAGTGCTGAAGAAACTTTGGCCTTTCCCACACTCTGAACTCAATCAAATGGACCAGAATAATGTGATGGTATGTATTATTTGGAGGCTTGCATTGTCTAGGGCTTGTCTTATTTCTATTCCAGTTTGCAATTAAAAAAAGTTGTTAATTTAATCTAGTCAGTACTTCATTGTAACACAATTGTATTCTAAACCAATTATTAAAAAACTTGGCATTTCTATTTCTATATTCTGTTCTCATTATCAAAACTTTGTTCTTTAATAGGTTAATAATTATAGTCCTGATGTGTGTATGTGGGTGTATTTTTGTGTGTGTGTATGTGTGTGTATATATATATATATAATGTAAGCACTTCACATGATTGGCTGTGAAGTGGAGTGACTGTGTATTTGTAGGTGAATGTGGAAGCCGAGTTGTGCACAGCAATGTCCCAAACAACCATGAAATAATTATTTTAAAAAATCAGGAGGAGCAGGAACAACAAGATTCCATTTATAGACTGCCTTTCACGTCGGGAGGACGTCCCAAAGCGCTGGACAGTTGGGTCAGGAC